ACTATCCTATTTTATGATCGTTTTCATATCCATTATAGGACGCCATAGAAACTAAAAAATGTTATTAAACTCTTATCATCAAATTGGATAGAAATTGATGCATTAAAAAACATTTTCTCTAAATAAATTATACATTATTATACATTCATCTTAAAAAAATGACATATTTCATATATTTCACTCTAAAAAATAAACAAAAACATTACAGATAAGTGGTCATTAAGAACAACAGTGACTGTTCCCTTCGGCGAAGTGATGTACCTATATAAATCATAAACATTTTTAATGTATCAAAATATAATAGTCATACTTTTGTGAAATTACAATAAAGTTCAACTCTTATAGTGTAAAGGTCACTTACGGAGAGATATTTTTACTCAAGTGCCTTGATACAATCTCTAAGTATCATTTCCAAATACCAATGTGCAAGGCCTTCATCATAATTTAATATTTCTTGTTGAATTTAAAGTGACTTGAATGAATCCTTCAGGCTTTTTCTAGCATAGTTTTAATATTTTCGACAATTTTTTATGAGGGATTTCAAGTGATTGCCTTCGCGGGTCAGATTTAAACAGAAGATAGGTACACTTTGATAGGTAAATTTTAAAACCCTTCAGCTAAAGGTAAATGATAAATCTAAGTATTTTTGATGATAATATTTCATTTTCCAATGAGAGCACATAAATTATCATGATTTTTGTTCCCAGGCTAAAAATTTCCACCTGGATGCCTAAGTTTTGTTTTCAAGGACAAACCAAACAAATAAATACATGTATACATATTTAAATTTTTTTCTAACGAGTACATTATATATATATCGATATTGACCATATTGTAATCACACAAACAAAAATCTGAACGCTACTAAGTATGCGAAAAATATAAAGCATTTATGACAACAAAATAAAATCATATGAAACAAAGTGCCAATACCTGCTAAAAAAAGTTTGTCTTTTAAAAAAACAGCAACAAAACAACAATTTCATTAATTCAAAAACATGTAAATTTCTGGTTACCAAACGTTTCATTAAAATTTTACTCTTTCAGCACCTATGGTGATGTTAAAGAAGAGCTATACTCATTGTCAAGCCATGGCAACCTTGCGGAAAAGACGTGTTGTTGTTAGATATTAAAAGTGTACCCCTCTGATTATTAAGTCCTTTATTGTACCAGTCAAGCACCAGTCAATTGAGTCCTAATACACGCCCCCCACCCCCAACAAACACATCTGAGGTAGTTTGGAAAATAGCAAGGGAAAAGACCCCACTGTTGAAGAGAGTTGCATTAAAAAATAATAGACAGTCACAGAACTTCCAAATTTAAGGAAAAGTATATCTGTTACATAAATTGAGTAGATTAATGGTTAAAAGTTGGGAAATATGTTCATTTCAATATCGCAATATCTTTTTTTTGCAAACATATACATACATCATCCTACATTGTTTCTTGCTCTTTTTTCGAGACAGGAAAAAGGTTTTAACCTTACATCCATCAGTTTTTCATTCCATAAAAAGCAGAAATAGGGTAAAGATTCAAACTTGAAGAGTTGGAAACAATCACATGAGGTGTTTAATACCCCTCTAGCCATTGACGGTCACAAGCCAAAAGCCTGACAGTTTAATGGCAGCCATTGTGTTCATCTCGGCACTTAAAATGCCCAGAATAAGAACTTAAGAAAAAATACATCAAGGTCAAAGGTCGATATTTCCAGACAGTGAAAATGCAGCTTCCTGTACATAGGAATATTACACATTCATTAACTTCATTTTACTATTATCTTTCTTCTAGAAAAAAGACTCGAGATATAAATTTATAGTTTCACTTCATTATAAAACCGCAATTATCACTAAATTTCTAATTTCTTATTTGCAAATGGTATCAAAATTGCCTATCGTCCATAATGAACCAGACATTTCTCAGAAAATACATTATTTCTATTTCATTTTTGCTTGTTTTCTCAAACCAGCTCAAATAAAAAGATATAAAATAAACATTGTACCATGCCATATGTTACTGAGAACTAAAAAAGAAATACCAATTTAATCCCCAACCGTTGATGTCAAATAACACGCAGAAAAAATAAATCAGAATGGAGAGAAAAAGAATACTAAGGGAAGAAAAATGATACAATTTCAATGCAGGTTTAAAGAGACATCCTCTTTTGCCGCAATTAGAACTATGCTTTACGGGTATCGATCCCTCTCAGATGTCAACCCTTGCACAATGCCCACGATCTGTGACACTGTGCGTTTTTTGTTCCCAATAGACCAGGTGACTTTAAAAATAGACAACGGTCAAAGAAGTGCTATGGTCAGTTTACGCACAAACTGTCAATACTGGGCAATTATTACCCAATAATTGAGGTCATTCTTCAATTAAACCTATTATCAATTTTTAACGCACCCCACCTGGTTTACTGTTTAACACAATTTACATGTTTGATTTTTTATGTGTGATTTTTTGTTGTTGTAAATTTAAAGCACCTGCTGCTTGCTGAATGGGTTATATTCAAAACAACAATGTAGTTTGCTGAATGCTTAACAATGATTGGTTACAAAAGTTGCAAAAGTTCGATGTACAATTTTCACATGTCAAAATATCATTTAAAATTAATATTGATTACCTTTAAAGATGTTGACATTTTGAATTGACCATTGTCCACCTAATGTCAAGCCAGCCAGAAACACAAATGGATTTGATAAATGTTAAAACTGCTTTTATTCTAGAATGCAAATTATACAATGCAACTCATAAAGATTGCACACTGATGTTTAAAATCATCTAAATAAAAATCTAGAGATTAATACATTTAAAGATACCAGCAGAAAATGCAAATTTTCATTAAAATCTGTTTTATATATATAATCAAACCCTTCAAATTAATGTATAAAAAATTAACTATTTTCTAGATCTATGAAAATAAATTTTGTCACATAATTACAAAAAAAAATACCCAACAGTATAACACCAACAACAAAAACTTGAAATTTATAGAACTTCATTAAAATAAATTAATATGTCTACCGAAAGAATTAAGTTTTATATATATATATATGATGATACACAAAAGCTACTATCTCTGTTTTCTTTTGTTAAAGAGAAACATTGCTACATTCCAAATGTTAAAAGTCTAATTTAATAAATTCTGATAAAAAAAATTGTTAATTAATTAAGCTAATCTTAGGAACTGGAGCCCGGCCTATTACACAGATACCACTATCATTTAAGGTATTTTTCAGCTGATGTATTTTTAATTCAATATATTAAAACATTTAGTTTAATAAAGATACCAAATTCTATACAGCACTTAATCTGTGGCCCATAAAAAAAAACAAAAAAAAACAAGCAGCAAGTTAAACGACTCTCGTTTCAAAAAAGTTTACTACCTACATTTTTTAATTCTACAATCAAAGGGAAACATTCAGAAAGGATATTAAAATCATAAATTAAATTAATTATGTAACGTAACATTAAAAAGTTATATAATTAATAATTTTCCTTTAAATTAAACAAACATTATAGCTTGGAGGTTATTTGACAACTGTATGCCATAGACAGCTAGATTAAATGTTTATGCCAAAGTGAATCAAGTACAAATATATTTTACTCTTTTTTTTCTTCATTTTAATAACATTTTAAACAGTTCACCATCTAAAACAGCTATTTATTTTAACGTTAACACCAAACAAATGTGCATCTGGGTCCAACTCAACCAACCTCCCTACAACATCTAAGTCCTAGTTCAGGGACTACCTTAAAAGTCTGCCTAGCATGAAAATAAATAAATTTAAATTTTAGATAGCTATGGCAGATGCAGTAAATAAATGTTTTAGATAAAACTATCCTCACAATTGCAATTTGATTAAAGAGTGAAGATCAGATTTTCAGCTAACCAATCAAATTGACTGTTAATCACCTGTTCAGCATAGGTGCTGCCATTTTTATTTTACCTAAAAGCTTGAAATAGTGAAAATCATGCACACAACTTTGATAATCTCAACAGAAAATAATTCACGTTCAAGGAAAATCAAAATATTAGCTGATAAAATAGCCATGAGATCAGGTAACCTCATACTTGGTGACACTGTCAAATCCTGACATCATCATTTGAAAGCTGATTCCAACCAGACTGTCACAATAGCATATTTATAAAGGTAATATCTTTTAAATTAATATAAAGTAACTTTAACACTGACTTCACTGTTAAATCATAGAGAACATTTGACTATAACTTAATAGCCAAAGTCCTCATTTGCTCAAAGAGGCAGCATATCAAAGTCTTCCTAATAGCATTTTAGCTTGAATTAAAGTTCAAGGTCTCAAGTTGCTCTTCTTTGCAATAACATGAGGTCAATGTCATCATTTGTTTAAAGGTAAATTTCACATTCTAACAAGACGTCAAGGTCACTCAATTCCTTAAAGGTAGCCTCTCAACAAAAGTTTTTACTCATTCATTAAGACATCTGAACATGAATTTGATATCACTCTTAGTTCACAAGTTACATTTTAAAATTAAATATGGGTAAAGGTTAAGAATTTGCAATCTTCTCTTTCCAGTTGCCATGATATCTGAAATGTCCAAGATTAGTTTCACTAACAGTTCAGATATTAAAGATATATCAAACTTTAAACGCCAGTTTATCAGGTAGGATAACTCTTGAGCAACCCTCGGGATATCTGTTTGTTTTTTAAGGCTTCTGTGGCCGAGTGATTAAGGTCGTTGACTTCAAACTACTTGTTTCTCATCACCGTGGGTTTGAATCCCACCAAGGACTTTGGATTCTTTCATGTGGGGAAGATATCCAGATAGCTTACGTAACATTGTTGGTTCTACTCAAGTGGCCGTTGTGCCTGTAATAATGCATGGGGGTCTCCTGAGGTCTTCCTCCACCAGTAAAGCTGGAAAGTCGCCATATGATCTCTACTGTGTTTACAAGATTACAAAAATTAAAGAAATCAATTGATGTAAAAAATTTACTCAAAATTTTATTATTTTTTACCTCAATAATGATGTCCCAGCACTGCCAAATATTCAATTTCTTATGTCCCTCAATACACAAGATTTGTTCATACCTGCAAGTAGAAAACCGCAAACATGCCATGACTATGGTGCACTTTGCAAATTAAATTATAGCACAAAATTATAACCATTTCCATACAATTTTTGTGTCACAGACTTGTCATAATATTTTTGAGCTACTATCATTAACTAAAGCTATTTTCAGAAAAAACAGACATAGAGCAGCTTATAGCTTAATGTCTGGTCACCCAGAGACAGTGGGCCTATAATACTGACCTAGGCCAACCCATTGCTGGCTTTCCTGGCTAAAAGACTAATGTCATTAAATGAACGATAATAATAACTAAATTAATACTTCTGGAGTTTTGTTTTTGTTGGTTTTGAAGTCACACAAACAGCTCTACTGGGGGAAGAAAACCTAAGGTACCCCTTCTTGCATCATTTGAGACATAAGCCGGCACCTGAGTAGAACCACCACCACATATAACATTTACAAGTCCTTCCAGGATTTCAACTCACAGCAGTGAGGGAAGGGCAAATCTATATGCTCCCCCTTCCCCACTCCCTTTGTAGGTGTATAAGAAATTACAATAATGACCAGATCATAACAGCTCTTGACCAATTTAATTTTAGGAATTCATAACCTAATGAATACTAACCATAAAGTGAGTCAGACAAACATCTAAAATTGACCCATGTTTACTGAAACATGCTGATGATACAATCTGGTATATTAACATTCTTCTCTATAAATTTTTTAACTACTAGGAAATAATAATTTATACGCTAGATCAAAGGAAAAGAACTAAAACAATTTGAAGCTGTTCAACAATAAAACATTGAAAATAAAATCTACAATTATGAAGGCTAAAACACACTTTGCCATCATTAATGTTTAACATTAACAACTTAAACAAGCAGCAATATTACGGCTATTTTACAATAGCAAATTATTATCGGAAACAAACATTCGGTAATTAAAACAGTTATGATTTTCCTTTCAAATCTTTATTATGGGGCATGGGTGTGATGTTTAATAGGCAAATTGTGAACTTAAAACAGATACGTTTTGTGTACAAAGTAATTTATTACCCTGTTAAATATCATAAAAAACATTTTTTAGTAAGTGTTGTAAGAAATTTCGACTATTAAATTCAAGGTTTGAACATTTGGTAAACATTTCTCCACGATCTATGGACACAGGAAGTGGCTGTTTTTAAAGCTTCATGGAAAAAAAACGCTTACGTTTTAAACGCCTGGAGATATCGTCTAACCTTTACAGTTTCTATAGATTCTGGTTAATTGTTTGGTGAAACCAGGGGCTTTAAGATGTTATATTTTTAACTGTTTGAAATATGCTTCGCATTAAAACTCATAGGTACTTGAAAAGTTCAGCCAACAAATGTTTTAGCCATTAATTTCATTTTTGATGTTAAACCTCGTTAGTGCGGGGTCTATTACTCATAATACCTCAATTTTTGTTCCATTCGAACAAAAGGTCAATCTCTTAAGTGTTTTCACTATAACATATATGTGAGATAAAGCGACTGTTTTTCAAAAACAAACCACTTTAAATCATAGCGATCTTCAAAAGAAAAAAAGAACTTAAACAAATTATATGATGTTTGAAGCTTCCAGAAAAAAATAATTTTTAATTAACATTCTAAGCATCGAGCAATGTAAAGATATTTTCCTTTTAAAAAAAAGCTTTCTAATCATATCTGCATACTGAAGGGAAGTAAAATGGACAACAATGATAACATTTAGTTCCTTCCTTGCTTCAAACTTCTTTAGTGTTTGAAATTATTTTTTGTCCAATAGGACTGCAATATTTATATATGAAAAACAGTGTAATTCAGAATTTGGTAAAAAAAAAAAGTAAACCAGTGGTACTATTCTAATGCATTGATGAAAGGCGGTCATGTGATCATAACTACAAAATTTGGTGTTTTGGTGTTCACAACTTAAGTAGCTCTCCCTTCTTAAAACTAAGGAGACACCATGCTAGTTTATCTTTCATCTTTTATTGCTTTATTCCCAAGAAAGAAAAAGAAACTTATTCTCAAAGATTAAAGTTTTCTATACTATCCTTCCCAGCTTAAAAAATTGGCTGAACAAAATAAAGCTACATCATAAATAAATGTTTAGTTTATTACAGATCTCTATCTGAACCCGTTTCCCTTGAAACAATACAGCAAATTAAATCAATCAAGTAGGCTTCTTTTTTCTTTCTTTTTTTTTCTATTTTAAAAACTTGGAACACTCTTAACATCAACATACTTAACAGAATCAATCTAATTTCTCCACGCTTGAAGCGAGATCATTCTTGTTCATTTCGATTTAAATTGATTTCAAACAATGACAGTAAATGTACGTCTTTCTATAAATTTCGCCGCCTAAAAATTTAATCTGCCGTTTTTCACGACAGTAACATGCTTACAGCTTCGCATCCTTTTCTTTTCATTCTCATTTGTCAAAGGAATACGGGAATGAGATACCTTATTTGGTAAAATTTGAATTTAAACAGCCCAGCTTCAGTTTCACTGGAAAAATGGTTAATGTCAATCAATTTAGAATGGTAAAGAACAAAAAAATGCGGATTCGACAGTAAAAAAAAAATGTTTAAGTAACAGTTTAATTCTTTCGACATATTTGGTGTTCTAATTTTCTAAAGTACATTTACAATCGGAACTTATGTGAAATAAAGTGAAAAATACACAGAGAAGAATTTCATGAATTCTATTAGAATTACAATTCACCCCTTTGCATTGTAATTCATCATTAAAATAACAGTTTAAGAAGTTGTAAATCAGACTGACTCCTGGAAGCATTGCGGATATTTCCCCGCGTCTCATGATGTAATTTTCTTGTTGTCTCCCGTTATCTTAAATTTCATAGGGATTTCATTTAAATTGCATAAAACTTCAATCACACGTAAAAAACCGCTTGATTACTATCATCAGTATTATCATATTTGAAAATTATCATGATTTTTTTTCTCCCCATTCTTTATTATAACTGTGAATCATGCCATTTCACAATTTCTACATAGCCACTCCTTTGATTATATTCTCTTAACTTTACATCAAAGGAAATGACTTCTATTTCATTACATATCAAAGACTAATTGATTATTCAACTCATTGTACAAACCTATTTTCAAAATTAAACTAAGAAAACAAAAATTCCAGCAAGTAAAAACATCACATATTTCAAGCATATATTCATTAAATATTCTCTTTCAAAAAGTACAGTAAAACAATGGTCTTCGTATTTTTTTTATAGTTATGTTTGCTAGAATAAAATTCACTTGCCCCACAACATTGTGCGTTCAAATCCTAGTATTATATTGAATTTCTTAAAAACAAACATTTATATGGTGGATTATCCAAGGTCCGCAGCGGGACCCGAAGCCTGGTTCTCTGGATTGCCGTCCAGTATGCTAACCACTACACCACAGTAGCTGCTGCATTTTCTTTGTGCTAATTGGCCTTATTTAAGTTATTTTTAACTTAATTGTGACATCATCAATTTTATTACCATAGCAGCGATTTATTGATAGCTACTTTTACTTAATAAAGTGATGACATATATAAATATAATGTAGGATCTGGGTTTTCTCCCGCAGTAATTCTGTTGCCTATCAGTTATTCTGTTGCCTGTATCAAATTAAAAGTGCTTTTTTGAATTTACAAAACACATGACTGTATCATTAAAAAAGCAAAGGTCACATAAAAGATGAATTACGAAATATTGCTCTTTTGTAGCACTCAGGACTAAATATGCTTTTAGGTCCATCCCAAATTAATTTAAGTAAAATTATCTTTCCTGTATTATTCTTTAAATGGCCACATAATTAATTAAACTCTATACTGAGAAATATATGTCTCCCTAGTCTACATTCAAGACAATTCAAGACATAGATATATGAGCCGCGACACGACAAAACCAACATAGTGGGGTTGTCATATAATATACATATACTTATATAGCTTATATTAAGTAAACATGAATGAATGAATAAGCCCCATTGAAAACACTTAACACTTAAATATTTTAACATTACACTTCTCCTTAGTACTGACTTGTAACATAATAAATCTGACAGATGTGACACAAACTTAATAAACTTACAACCAATTTGATTTCAAAGGCTTCATTGCTTTTCTTTAGGTTCTTTGTTTCAAGGCAGGAAGCACTTGACCATGTGCTCTGCGTGATTTTGATTCGAAAATTTAAATACGGTCAAATCTTAATAGATTCAAGTATCAATTAGCGCAAATTTGTTTATCATGAAACAACCCCTCTTAAATTGGAATGTACTGAATCTTTGTTTCAAATTTTAATGATGTTGAATTTTCAAGAGGCCGAACCCCTTGAAAAATTGCATTTCAAGTGCCTCATAGGCCGGGACATCCTTTATCGAAATACCACAAAGATCTTGTCATATGATAAATGATTAATGTTTTTAATTGAAGTTTTCTTTTCAGTTTTTTCTTTTTGTTGTTGTTGTTGTTGTTTTCTTTTTTAAATCAAAACTACTTCACGGAAAATAATATTGTAAGAAATATTTTGAGGTTGCTGTTTGTTACAAGCAAAGACTTGTGCTAAAAATAACTGCATATATGTACATGTATATTTTCTTACCGCTTGTTAAAACTTAAGAAGCTGCCTTAATTGAAATGCATACATTCTAGGGCCAGTTAAAGTCGGAGCATATCTTATGTCAAAACTTTTTATGTCATTTAGGATACTGGTAAGCTTGATATACAGGGATGAAACATTTTTTCCAGAGCCTCTCATTGACGGGGCGCATAAATCCTGGCTCCGTCACCTATTTATACAGTCCACATTATTAATACAAATGTGACAAAATTACCATAAAAGAATGGAAATTCAAAAATGCCTGGTGAGTTTGATACTTTGGAGATTTTTTACTCATCAAGCTACATTTTTCCACGGAGACTGCTCATAAAGACCAGCAAAAGACCAGTCTGAAGACCAGCAGCAGGGTTCTCATTTTTAACTGGGGGCAACAAAAACAACCGATTTG